CTTTATTAGTGCTGGCCACGCCTTCCCGAAAAGGTTGACAACGCCACGGCCCAATCCACGCCCGGGACAAGCGCCAGTCTGCCCGAGCAAACTGGCCAATCAAAGCCTTCCTGTCGCCCGGACTCCAGAAAGGAGTGGTTGGGAAGCTCATTCACTGACCAACACTATAGCTGGCTTATCTGATTAACCAAGGATCTGGCGTTTTGGAAATACGCGTCTGCTGTCTGGAAGGGCGACTCCAACAGTTTTTGGTTAGGATTTTTTGGTGTCTCCTAGCCAACCGCTGAATTGCTTCTGAAGTCCCGGCTCGCCCAAGACTCCAGCGCCGGCAGCTGTAGTCAACCGTGCCGCTTCCCCGGACAGCTGCGGGTGGTCCCGGCTCACAGCGGCCGGGGTTCTGGAGTCCTAGTGAGGCAGGAGACAGCATAGGAAGAACTCTGAGACTGCAACACTGTTACTAGCCAGCATTTACCACCCTGGTTGCCAGGAAATGCCTTTTACCAATTAGGTAGAATAAATTAGTAAACCGAGGCAGGGAGGAAGAAGGAGTTAAGTCTCACATGCTAACTCAGCAGTCCTGAGCCTGGTCTGATAATATTGCCAGGTGTTCCAGCATCACAAGAGACGCTATGTTAGCAAGAAAGAAGGGAAGTCCTTGAAATTCTATGTAGCATTTCCACTATCTGGGAAAGAAAGCCTTGAAACTGCTTTCCTCCTAAGGCCTGAATGTGGGAGAGGGTTCCCAGTGCCCAAAGAAAGAGCCCATAAAACAACTTTGGTTAACTGCCTACCTCGGGTCACTATCTGTTTTACGAGGGAGTCCCTGATGCTTACAGAAAATGCCCCAATTTCAATTAACTGCCTCCTGTCAAGTATTTGTTTTACAACAAGATGAGCAAATGGGGTCTGGAGCAAGACAAGGATTCGGGCTAACAGACCCCCACACATACCTAAGTTTGGGTAGTCACATTCCCCCAGGAAAGCTGGCACCGCATGTACCCGTTAATCAATATGTAACTTTTTCCCCTCCTATCCCACCAACTATGTAAGTCCTGAGAACAAAGGACTCACTCTGCCTCGGGGGCTCGGAGTGCTCTTGGCTCTAGGGCCACAGGGCCTCTGGCCACCCGGCCTCAGGCTGCCCAGGGGCTTGCCACCCTGGTCTTAAGCCGCTCTTGCTTTTGCCACCCTGCTTTGCCCTGAAATTTTGCCTTTCACCCCCTATTCTACCCAGTCCTGTTCTCTTCCATGGGAGCAGGCCACTAATAAACTGATTACATACTACTAGATTTGCTGATATGTAATTCTTTACATGCGTCAGCAAGAAGAACCAGGTCTCTCCTGTCAACACTAGGGACGGTAGTGGTTGGTCAGTCTACGCACATCCCTGACGTCCAGACCTGCCCGGCATTCCACCCCACCTGCTTGACTGGCCTCCTGTGAGGAGGTCAAATCCATTAAGGCAGAACAGCCCATATAAAAAGATAATTACCTAATATGCCAGATATTAGACTACTGCAGTAATCAAATATGTGCAAGACAGGTCCTGCCCTCAGTGGGGATGAGGCTTAGCTCATGGGGAAGGCAGACATGGATACACATTAAACCAAGCAAAAGCAAAAATATTATGAGTTCTGAGACTTAGCCAAATCAAAGTAAAAGGACCTTCAAAAGTTGTCCCTTACCTCCTTCCATTTGCCAAAGCAGTGATACTCAACCCCAACATAAAACCTCTTGGGAGCTTTTAAAAATATGAATGCTTAGGACCTTAGCTCAGATTGATTTAATTGGTCTAGGATGAGTCCTAGTCTTTTATTTTTTTAAGGCTCTGAGCCCTGGCTGGTGTGGCTCAGTGGATTGAGGGCTGGCGTGTGAACCAAGGGGTGGCCGGTTTCATTCCCAGTCAGGGCACATACCTGGGTTGTGAGCTGGTCCCCAGTTGTGGGTATGCAAGAGACAACCACACATTGATGTTTTTCTCTTTCTACCTTCCCCTCTCTCTAAAAATAAATAAATAAAATATTTTTTAAAGAAGTTTAAAGGCTCTGAGAAGTTTCTAACATGTAGCCAGGATTGAACATCTCTGGCCTACAGGGTTTAAAAAAAAAAACATATATACATATTCTTCATCCTGGCTGGACTTCTAGTAATTTGGCACTATTTTCCTATCCAAACTTATTTCCTATTTTTTAAAAGATTTTATTCATTTATTTTTAGAGAGGGAAGGGAGGGAGAAAGAGAGAGAAACATCAATGTGTGGTTGCTGGGGGTCATGACCTGCAACCCAGGCATGTACCCTGACTGGGAATCGAACCTGGGACACTTTGGTTTGCAGCCCGCGCTCAATCCATTGAGCTATGCCAGCCAGGGCTACTTATTCTCTATTATTAGAAAAAGATTAGTTATGTGTTAATGATGATTAACTTAGTTCTATGAACCCATGTTCTACTGAACCTTCAGTTCTACTGAACCTATGTCAGTAGTTCCCACCTCTGTTCACACATCTGTGTCCCCATGACAAGGCTGCCCCCCATTCCCTCACCACCATGACTTATTTTCTATCCATCAAATCTCCTGCCCATAGATGTTATTGTTCATACTTAACATTGATTTCCCATGTCCATCAGCTGAACTTTTCCAAGACTCAGTTCAAATGTCATCTTTTCAACAGATACCTTTTCTGACTACTCCCCACCCCCAGCCAAGAAAGAACTCTCATAGAAGTCTCTAATTTTTTTATGTAATTACCATATTCAAATTCATATTGTTTATATACATATCTCAAATGGAATGAAAGCTACTGAGAGTTAGGATTCTCTGACTCAATGATTTATGTCCTCTAAATAACCTTGCACATAATGGTTCAGTATTTATTGAATAAAAATATTACATACTATTTCACACCTAAAACAAGACTGTTCTGTTCTTGAAAACATGATCTTTTGTAGTTTCACAGCAGGAAGCATTCAGTTCAGCCCGTTGAACTGAACTATCACTTTTCTCTTCACTAATAATCACATATTCTAGTAAAACATGTACATGTAATTCTTCAGAGCACCTTGCACTTAACAGCATCAAATATTTGATTTTCTCCTCTCCAATCCCACCAAATCACATAAAGTATTCCAGAGCCACTCATATTTCATACCAACCTCTCCATTCTTGTATCTAGCTTCTCTCCAGCCATCCCTTTGAAAACTCTTCCATATGAGGAACCTGACACTCTTTATTATTTCTGTAAGACCCAGGATCTTATGTTCACACATACCCACTAATCCATTTCTCTGAAACCCACTTTTCACTAACAAGTAGTTGTTAATCCAGCTTCACTTCTGTTGAGCGTACCAGAAAAAGTGCCAAAAAATATGAAAGGTTACTGACATAGACTGCAAATACGGCTGTTGACAATTCTTCAAACCCCTGTATAAGTGCGTGCTGCTCCCAATCTAAATACAGTGTGCATTCACTCAGAGCCTTGAGTCTGGGCTGGCCCGTGACTTCTTTTGACCATTAAAATGGAACACAAGTGATCATGAAACTTCTTGACCTGTGCCTATCAAGTCTTGCAGTTTCCATCTTTAACTTTGGGATCAAGCCTCCATGTAAAGAAATTTGAGCTAGACTACAGAATAAGAAGATCGTGTGGAAAAAGAATCTCAGCCACCCCAGCTGAGTTGCCAGACTTATCAGTGAAGACATCTTGGACATTCTAGCTGTGGCCAAGCTCCCAGCCAAATGCGACATGACTGACCCCAGCCCATACCAAATGGAGTAGAATCACCCTGCTGATCCCAAACAACCTAGAAAGTATGAATTAATAAATTGTTCTCAGTCACTAAGTTTTGGGGTGGATTGTTATTTAATAATAATTGAAGCAAGTACTTACTTGAAAGGATTTGGATCAAATAAGAGACCTAATATCCTAATTCCTCTTCCTTCAAATCCAAACTTTTATCTGTAATTTTTTAAAAACATATTTCCACCCTGGCTGGCATAGCTCAGTGGATTGAGTGCAGGCTGCAAACCAAAGTGTCGCCAGTTCAATTCCCAGTCAGGGTACATGCCTGGGTTGCAGGCCATGACCCTCAGCGACTGCACATTGATGTTTCTCTCTCTCTCTCTTTCTCCCTCCCTTCCCTCTCTGGGAATAAATAAAATCTTAAAAAGTAAATAAATAAATTAATTAATACATATTTCCATTCATTTCTTCAGGCTTTTCTAATTCTTGACAACTACGCACACTTCAGAGGACTGTCATTACCATTTACACTTGCCAAACTCTGTACTAAATATTTTTTACATGCATACTTTCATTCCTCACACAACCCTATGAAAAAAGTATTACATTATTATTCCTACTTGACAGGCTAAAAAAACAAAGCAAAACTAGCCTAATAGAAGTTGACTACTATATCCCAGGCCACAAGAATAGAGTGGTAGAGCTTGAGTTTAAATCTAGACCTGACTCCAAACCCTATGTCCTTAATCAATAGTCTATATCAAAGACCTTATGCTAATCAACGCAAAACCCCTCCCAGGAAACACAGTACTTTTCACTCACATAAAAGATTTCTTTAAAAGCAACACTACAAATGCTTTCCCTGGTGTCTTACTACACTTCATTATAGCCAGACCTATCTCACCATCTTTCAACATACTGTTCTCTCATGGTGTACCTTATCATTTTTCTTTCCCCCTTGAAATGTTCTACCACTGTTTTCTCTCCTTACTAAAACCCAACCTCTCCTGTAAAACCTCTCCTGACTAGGTGGTAATACATTTTCATCTAGGTCACTTATCATCCACATCAGTGTTTTCCAAACAGGGCTTTTAAGATTATAATTACCAAAAACTAGAGGAGTCATACTTTGAAAAAACAAAAGCCCAGAAACAATCCACCATAAAGGTTTACCAAAATGGGACTAAATCATTGTGGTATATAATGTGAAGATATAAAATAATATCCAAGTTATATTAAGTGAAAAAGCAAGGCACAGAACTGTTTATAAAATCCAATTTTTGTTGAAGGAGATACAGTTTTTAATAGAAACTTGTACATGCATAGTATATGTGAAATAAGAAGAATCCTTTAAGAGTGGTTGCCCCTGTGAAGGAACAACAAAAAAATCAGAGGAGAAATTTTTTCATCTGATTACCCTTTTGTAATTTTCAAATTTGCATTGTATGTATAGATTATTTTTTTTTTTTATTGAACACACACACACAGATGCGTAAGACTCACCTCAGCTCCACAGATCACAGATCTTTGGGGACAGGGACCAGACTTTGGAAATTGTTAAATTACCAAGATGATTCTGATGATCAGCCAGGCAAAGCATTCATATGGTACTTAATGCCTCATATTAAAGTGTACATGTGAAACTATTAATTTTATATCCTAACTAGAAAATCATATGCAGGGAGTGGGTAAAGAACATATTACACTTTTTTATTTCTTCTACAATTCTCAGCTCAGAAAAAGTACCCAATAAATATTTTTGATGAGACTAGTACAGAAATATAATTCCACTTTTGTTACATTTAATTCCAGTGTGAAAGGGTTTTCAAATATATATTTAACATTTAGTATTATGGGGCAACTGAAAATATCACTTTCAATACATGAAATCACCACGTCAAAAAGTGCCAACAATAATTTTTACTTTTTAAATGCCACAGGTATGTCTAGACTGCAAAGGGCAAGTGGTCAAGTCCAAATCTGAGACTGTAAGACTTAGGGATAAGTCTACATGAATGAGTAAAAGTAGCATTTAGAGGAAAATAAAGTGTGTGGATAACAAATTTTAAAGAAGCCCCATTTTATTATGGAGAGCACACAAATCCCTTTCCTCACAATGAAAAGTGCCATTTTTATTCTCATAGATATGCCTCTTCCACTGTCCCCAGCATTCTCCTCTATCGGAACTTTCCACGTCGGTTAAAGTATTTGTAGAGATAATTGATGCGTTTGTTCAGGTTGTGCAGGTCATCAGAGAACATCCGATTTCCAACCATTTTCTTCTTTCGGATACAACGCTGCAATTCATTCCCCTTCCAGCCTCGAAGCCACCTAGGCCCTCTGATTAGTTCTTTGGGATGCATTTCAAAATTTCCTGTGTAATGTGAGAGAACGTGTTAGTTCCAACACAACACAGTCTTCACCAGCTAAGCCATAAGCATACAGTTGCATGTTTCTGAGGAGCACCTACAGACAAGACACATCACACTACTGTATTAAGAGCACAGACTCTGGAGCCAGACTGCTTGGGGTTTAAATTCTGGCACTGCCGTTTACCAGCTTCGGAAAAATTACTTAACCTCTTCGTGCCTCAGTTTCCTCGCTTGTAAAGGGAAAAGGTTATAAGACGGGTTAAATTAGTTAATACATGGGGGGCACTCAGAACAGTGCTCAACATAGCATAAATATCCACTTAAGTGTTTGCTCTTCTGTTGAGCAGGGTACCAGATGAGAAAAAGCAGTCGTTGCGGCGTAACTGGCATTCTTACATATTGTACAATGGAGTCGAGTCTTACCCAGGATCCCGATGTTATCATACACCCCGAACATAGCCCTCTTCTCGTTCCAACGATCAACCACTTTGCGGGGTGGGACCGTGACCCTCACAAAATACATTCCAGGAACACCTAGGGATGAGGAAGAAAATGACTGAATCCGGGTAGCTTACTGAGAAGCGGTTCCCAGAGCGTCTCTCTACCTTCGCCACTTACCCAGAGAGAAGCTTCTGCAGGCCAGGGGCACCCAGCTCCATAGGCGCCTTCCTGCACACAGAGCGAGGCTCCCTGCCATTGTTCTCGTCTCTTTTCTACAATAGAACACCGCCCTAGCACAGAGTGCTAACCAGACGTAACCGTCAAGGAGACAACCAGAACGGCCCGCGCTGGCTTCACACGGGTACTAGCTGTACAGAGCCATTTTGGGCCTTACCCAGGTAGCTCTGCGCTCAGAGACCTCCTAGGCTCCTCCTTCCCCAGCCACAAGCTCCGCCTTCCGGACCTGGCGCACTAAGGCCACCCGGTGTCACTCACACCCCGCTCCCTCCTGGGCGCTTCCGCTGTGCGGACGGGAAGCCTTGGAGCGCCAGAACAACTGAGGTACTCGCTTCGTCGTCTAGGGCGTCCCAAAACTGAGTTTCAAAAAAACGCACTCTTTCATTTCATTAATTGTCCCTCAGCTGTGAGGGAGATGAAGGTCCAGACCCCATAACCCAGAGCTGTCTTTCTATTCCTCACCCTAACTTTACGCTGCCGCCTGTTTTGTTTGATTTTTCTTTTCAAAATTACCCCTATTGTACGGGGGAGGAAATCGGGATCAGAGAGTGAAGTGACCTGCTGGACGTCACTTAGCTAAGAAATGGCGGAACTTCGACTGGAGTCCAAATCTTCTAAATCTCGGCCCGGAATTGCCTCCTGTCCTGGGGTTGATTGAGTGGGTCACCAGCCCAAGGACTCTACCACTGCCCAGGTAGAAACGTGGTATCTCTGGAGGACATTGCCTGGGACTTCTCCCCACCGACTAGAGGAAAAGGACCCCACAGGGAACGCGTCTGACGCAGGACTGGGGGGCTGGGGGCGGGATCCTAAATCTAGGTTCCACCCCTCTCTAGGCGGTGCGGCCGGGCTTTCCGGATCATCCGCTGTGATTGGCCCGTTTCTTCATCGGAAGTCGCGATTGGCCCCTTTTCAGCCGTTGAGATTTAAACTTCACATTTGTTGCTTTGCCCGCGCGTTGCGCAGGCACGTTTTCATCTCCTTTTGCCGAGGATTGGCCAGTTTTTCTACGCGCTTGAATTCTGCACCGCTGATTGGTGAGTATTGCGCACGCCCTGTTTTTTCCTCTTTCTGGTCTGCAACCCGAGTCCCAAGAACAGCCTGGTGAGGTTCTCGGGTAAGGAAGATGTGGTGTTAAGGGAGAGCAGATAATGAAAGACTGGGGAAATAGGGCACGGGGTAATATGAAGCGGTGTTAGGCAGCATAGGACAGGCAGGGATGTCTAATGGGTATATCCCTGGTGTACGATGTGGAAGAACAATAAGTCTGATAGATCAGCAGAATTTGGGCAAATCGCTTAAGCTTTCTTAGCTTCATTTTCCTCATATGTAAATTGAGCTGTATTATGCGCTCCTTGAAAATGGTATTTGGAGAACTAGATCAGATATGATATATTCAAATAGCCTAATAGAACTTGGCACACAGTAAGCAGGCAATAAATGTTAATGTTCTTCCATTCTGGAGCCAGGAAACCCGCGCGCCCTTTCCAGGCCACTGTTCTGGCCTTAGGTGAGACAAGAAGCATTGCCCATAAAAACAAATAATAATGCAAACATAAGGCATTAACATTGCCACTTTACAGTTCTTTACAGACTTTAATACCCCTTGGCTCATTAGGTCCTCAGAGCAACGATATAAAGTAATCAGAAACTAGTTACCCCCTTTTACAGATGAAGCCTATGGCATGACCAAGTGGCAGTGTCATGAGTAAAATTAGATTCTACTCCAGGGTTGATCTCATATGTTCTAAGATAATGTTATCAGCTTGATGTAAGACTAAAAAGCATTATATATATTAGAGGAGGGAAATAATAGAACCAGAAGAAAAGACAGGCCTTAGATACAGGTGTTGACCTATTTTCTGTTTGATTTCCAGCCCTGTGAGCCAGTGGGAGAAGGATGTCTTCCCAACTGTATGAGTTCCATCTGCCCTTAGCCCCAGAAGAATTGTTGAAAAGTGGAGGGGTGAATCAGTATGTTGTGCAAGAAGTACTGTCCATCAGAAATCTTCCATCGCAGCTTAAAGGTAAGACTCCATACCTGCCACTGTGCTGAGCCCTTCAAAACAACCATCTCACATGTCATTCTATTGTCTGTTCCACTGCCCCGCTAAGTTCCATGAGGGCAAGGGACATGTCTTTTGTGTTCCCTGATGTTGTCTCCCTAGGTTGCATAGTAGGATGCATTATGGGAGGAGTGCGCTCACTGACCACCTTATCTCTACTATTCAGTGAACAGTCTTAGTGTACATAGGGAAAAGTTATTTATTAACTCTTACCATATGCCGAAATAAAGTCCTGGTGGATTTAAGAGTTACAGAAGACAGCTTTCTCCAAGTGCCTGGGACTTTCCTGATTTGTTTCAAATAACACTTTTTTTAGTCTAGAATTCTTGTTTCTAAGAGTGTGCAATAATGGAAAAAAAACATAATATATATGTACAGCTTTGACACTGTAAAGTGTGTACAATGCAGTTACCCATTAAAACCTATAGATGGACAAGGACAATTTATGCATTATTAATATTAAGCAAGACCCCAAATGTCACTGTACTTATTGGAAGTGGTCTTATATTGGTTACATTGCTTTGGAGAAGTACACGAAGACTCTGAAGCCAAGCTCCCTGGATTTGGATCCTGGCTCTACCACTCTGACCTTGAACAAGTTACTTAGTCTCTCAGTGCTTCAGTTTCCTCATATGTAAAGATAAGAATAATAACCAATCTTCTACAACAAAAAGGGTCAGTTAACACAGCAGCTTGATCATCTAACTCCAGCTTATCTCTTCTTAGCTTTCCCATCATGGTCACCAGATGGCAACCTCTTGCTCTCCAGAAGTAGAAAGGGGATTTTCTATCTTGTATTTTTTCTTCTTTTTCTTTAAAAATTTTACCAGAAGCTTCTCGACAGATTTAGCCATAATTGAATCATGTGCTATCTCCCTAACTAGTTACTAGTAAGGGAAATGGAATTACCCAGATTAGCTAAATTGATTAAAATTTGTGTCTAGGAGCCTCCTAAACCTGGACATATAACCATTTGGTAAACAAGGAATAAGGTCAAGTGTGGAGGTCAACTGATGGTAGCCAACCAACAGTGTCACAGGTGGACTGTTCTCTCCTTATTGTACAGGTTTATGCACCACCAATTGCACATGCCGCACCCTGGAGTGAACTGTTCTTCAGTTATTGCAATGCATTATTTTTTAAAATGGATGATCACTCTGTTTAAGAGTCTTTTTTTTTTTATAACAGTTGCTTTGCTTTTGGTGTTTCAAGTCCTACATACAAGTTCTATAAATATATAAGATCAAATAATTTAATTTGTTCAACAAGTATGTGCTGATGATATGCTATGTGCCAGACGTTGTTCTAGACCCTGGCAACACAACAGCAAACAAAACAGACAAGATGACAAAGTGTTCTCAAGGCTCTCAACAAGTAATAAATTTGGAGTTGTGTCAATGAGAAAAATAAAACAAGATAAAAAGGTACGGTGTACCAAGGTAGGGTCTGGCAATTTTTGTTGGATGATCAGAGAAAGCTTGCTGATATGTGACATTTCAGCAGAGACCTTAAAAATGAGGGAGTGACCTATGTAGATCTCAAGGAAGGACATTCCAAGCAGACAGAAAAGCCAGTGCCAAGGCCCGAAGGTGGAAAACTGCCAATATGGTTGGAGTGTGGAGTAAGCTAGGAAGAAAGTGGTCAGGTGGGAAGTAGTGCAGATTATTCCAGTCTTTTTCCTCAAAGTGTGGTCTTCAGGACCTGCAGCATTAGTATCAAAATTTAGGAGCCAATTAGAAATGCTGGATGAAGACACATCCCAGAACTGTGGAATCAGAAAGTTCATTTTTTAAGATCCCCAGATATCTCAGATACATATCAAGTTGGAGAAGCACTGGTCTAGAGTCTTGTAAGCCATGGTAAAGACTTTAGTTTCAATGTGAGTGAGTCTGAAAGCCATTGGTGTTGAGCCTGGTAGTGATGTGGTTTAATCTTTTAAAAGGATCACTGTCTACTCTGTTGAAGAGACTGTAAGAGGCTAATACAGTGATACCAGGTAGCTTGCCTGGGGTGATGGCAGTGGAGAGGATCATAAAAGGTTAAATTCTGAATGTATTTTGAAAGTTGAGCCAACAGGATTGTTGTTGGTTCAGATTGGATTTATAGGGCTAGAAAAAGAAGAATCTGGGATTACAGGGCTTTTTGACTTGAGCAAAGAAGGGGGTTGTCATTACTGAGTTGAGGATATGAGAGGAGCAGGTTTAGACTAGAGTTCAGGGGAGAGGTCCCAGCTAAAGATATTTGAGATGTAATATTCAGCATATATAGGGCATTTAAAACCATGAGATTGGAGTGAATGTAGATAGAGAAGAAAAGCAATTTGAAGTCGTAAAACCTGAGACAAGTCCAACATTTAAAGGCTGGAGAGATGAGAAAGATCCAGTAGAAGAAACTAAGGACCAGTCAGTCATTGGGACTGGAAGTGAATGAAGAAGTTAAAGTAGGAGAGTATTTGAAAAAGGAAAGGAGAAACCAATTGCAAATTAAGATTACTGGATTTAGCAATGTGACAACTGCTGGCAACCATGACACAAACTGTTTCAGGGGAGTGGTGGAATAGGCTTGCAAGGAAATGGGAGGAGAGATTAGAGATGGTGGTCTGTTTTGCTTTAAGGAGTATCAGAAATGGGTAATAAGTAGATTCAAGGGGGAATTTTTTTCTTCTGTTTTGTAAGATAAGCATATGTATATGAATGGGAATGGTTAGAGAGGGAAAGCTGGTGATGCAGAAGGAAGAGGAAATTGTTGGTGAAGCAGTATTCTTCAGTAAGTAGGTAAGAGTGTGTGATGTGGGGCACAGGAAGAGGAAATGGTTTTGTTAGAGCATGGACAAGTTATCTGCAGTAGCAGAGAGAAGTCAGTGTATGAGCACAGATGCAGGTAGTGCAGGTAAATACAGAACTTGGGGCAGCTGGAAGTTCTTTTTCTGTCCAGTTCTATTTTCTCAGTGAGATAAGAAGTGATGCCTTTAACTGAGGGTGACTTGGGGAAGAAGGTCTTGATGTAGTAAGCAGAGGAAAGGTGTGGAAAATTGCCTACAAGAAAGTAAATAGGCCTAGAAATTTGTAATGGGCTTACCAGGAAATACTACAT